GCGTTAGACTCGCAATCCGGCGGTCCCGGGTTCTCGTCCAGTTCAATTCCGGCCTCTTAGTTGCTGAATTTGTTCTCGTTTGTTGCGAGTTCAAATCCTCTGCCACGCTTGTTAAATAGCCAACTCATTATTACCTCCTGTCAATTGGGGTTTTTAATCCTGTTATGTCAAATTGCCATACCCTTGTCAATCTGCATAATTTATTTTATTTAATTAGATTCGCCAATTATTGCCAATTACTGCGGGCCCGTAACAGTCCCTCCCCCCATGAGAGATAGACCACCACACCGGGGACTAAGTCCCCTACTCTTTACGAACAGTGTTGTGGGTTTTTTTAACGTCCCACAGAATTTATATATGCAAGGGTTGTGAGACGGGGCCTACGGTTTATCGTCCTTATCCGAGAAGACTAGAAAGTCTAACCGTTTGCAGAACGTATCAGGAGCCGGAGCCTCCATCTCCATTAATTTCTTGAGTCAACCCTTTCCTCAGTAGATTTATAAAAAGAACGGCTTGTTTCCCCCGAAAAGTGTCATATTTCCGTGAGTCTCGTATGTCACCGGGAAAAAAAATGAAGTTGGATGAAGTCAAACTCAGAAGCCCGTCCTTCGACCGTTTTCCTTTTTTACTATACGTCCATTTTTACAATTTTACAGCTGCTGGGATCTGGGTATCATGAAATAAAAGTTAATGAATTATCCGACTGAGACTGAGCATGAAGCGATGGGACATAGGCAGCGAAATGAGGATCACGGAAAGGTTATCTTTGCGAGTGTTCTTTTTTTTTTTTGTTGCCGCTTTACATCCCACATTGAAGCATGCACCTTGAAAAGAGTCGATGATTAAGCGTTCTGTGGACGATTTGGAACTTTTCGATGATCAGCGCCGAAAAAGTGCCAGGATCATTTTATTTTTGTCATCACCGTGGAGTGGATTTCGCCACTTAAGTACCGCATGCAAAAGCGATCACCTAAGGGACGGACCATTAGAAAAGTTATGGGGGGGGGGGGGGGGGAATTTT